TGGCCTCCTTGGAAACAAGGATGGCCGTTTTCCTTGAGGTTGGAAGACTTGACCTGGTAAGACTCGGCAGCCAGCTTAAAGGTCTTGTTGACATCCTTGCGTGCGAGATCGCGCCAGATTTGGTCGTAGATCTGGTTGTAGCCCTTGGTCTGGAACTTGGCGTCCTTGCTCGGTGGCTCCTCGACCTTCTCTTTGGCGGGCTTGGGCTCCTTGGGCTCCTTCACCTCCTCATCAGCTTCGGTGGCATCGACGTCGGCGCCGTCTTCCTTTTCCTTGTCCTTGTCCTTGTCCTTCTTCTCCTTCTTCTCCTTGTCCTTGGACTTGGACTTGTTGAGCTTGATGCGAATCTTCGACTCGTCTTTGGGTGGCAGCTCTTCGCCGGCGTCGAGCGCGCGCTGGGCAGCCTCGGCAGAGTCCTTCTCGGCTTGCTTCTGCTCCTTCGACTTCTTCGGCCTGGGACCTCCGCGACCTTTGCCCTTGGTCTTGGTACCGGGCTCCATGTCGGACGCTTGGAACGTGGACATGGTGCCGCCTTCGAGGTTGAGCTCGAGGTTGCGTGCGGGCCCCTTGATGCCCTTCTGAAGAATCAGCTTCGTCTGCTGGGCCTTCTTGTTGGCGCGCTCCGCATCACGCAGGTGGCGGGCCTTCTCGTCGTCGTCCTCGGCGAGGCGGGCCTTCTCCAGTGCGGCCTTCTTGGCTTCCATGGTGACGGCCATGGACTTTTCGCGCCGACGTTTGCGCTGCATGTCCTTCTTACGCTCCTTTTCGGCATACAGCTCGCGTTCACGGACCTCTTGGAGAGCCTCCTCGTAGTAGAGCTCATCGTAGCGTCGCTTGCTCTGCTCCGTGTGCGTGTTGATGCGGTTGACAATCTTCTCACTGCCATGCGTGCGACGCCTGTCGTTGTGTTGAGCCTCCAAGTTCTGCATGATACGGCGACGCTTCTGGCCGCGCTGCCGGAAGCTCCGATGCTCGTCATCGAGCTCTGTGTCGTCGACGTCGTCGGTCTCGGCGTCGAGCTTGGCAATCTGGGCCTGCACCTTCTTCTCCTTGTCGGCGGAGAGCACCTTCTGCTTGGGCTGGCCGTTGGCCTGCCTCTTGACAGGGACACGGGAGTGTGGGCGTCTCACGAGCAGACGAGGCACGCCGACTGGCCTT